GCACATAGCGGGACACAGCACTGCATAGCACTGCATAGCACTACATAGCAGCACATAGCAGGACACAGCACTGCATAGCACTACATAGCAGCACATAGCACTACGCAGCACTAAATAGCAGCAAATAAATAGCTCTACATAGCAGCATGTAGATAGCTGTACATAGCACATCATCCCACATGACACTGCATAGAGCTACATAACGACATATAGATAGCTGCATATAGATAGCTGTACACAACAGATCTTCCAACACGACAATGCATTAGCACATAAATGGCTCCACACAGCAACATGTACATAGCCGTACGTATCAGATCATCCGACATGGCACTGCATAGCAACTTCACACTACATAGCTCTACATAACCCCTACATTACCCCTTCATAGCACTGCATAGCACTACATAGCACGCACATGACACTACTGGGTCCCCACCCTTTCGGCCGCGGAGTAGTTCGTAGAAATTCGTCAGACTGCTTTCACCAGGTGGCCGCGCAGAAAATTGCATCAGTGAAAAGAGGCCGACTGATCAAGGGGGCCCTGATCAAGAGGGCCCTTGATCACGACGGCCCTGATCAAGACGGCCCTTGATCAAGACGGCCCGTACCATGACGGTACAAAGCGGGGCAGCATGGAGCACGATGGGGTGCGCACCAGGACAGCACACACGGTGGGGCATAGGATGAGGCAGGACAGGACAGAGAGGGACAGGATGGGGCCAGGACAGGATGGGACACGACAGGACAGGACAGGACAGGATAGGATAGGGTGGAAGACGGTGGCATATGACGAGGCATGGCAGGACAGAGGGGGGACAGGATGGGGCAGGACAGGACAGGACAGAGCGGGACAGGATGGGACAGGACAGGAAAGTGGCAGACCGTGCAGGGACAGGATAGGATAGGGTGGGACAAGATGGGACAAGATGGGACAGGATGGGATAAAATGGGGCGAAACAGGACCGTGCGGAACAGGACAGAGAGGGGACAAGATGGAGCACAACAGCAGGACAGAGCGGAGCAGGATGGGACACAACAGGGAAGTGGTCGGCCATGCAGGGACAGGATAGGATAGGGTGGGACAACGTGTGACAGGATGGGATAGAATGGGGTACGAAACAGGATAGTGTGGGACAATACGTCACAGGAGAGGACATGTTCAGACAGGATTAGACAGGCAGGACAATAAAACTGGTAGGGTGGAAAAAGGAAGGACAGCAAACAGCAATTCATCCTATCATCCACCAGTGCAACAATTACAGAAACGACATCAACAGACAGGAACAGCGCAGGAAGCGAGAAAGACGTGGGGCATGGAGACGGGACCTCTCGCTCGTTCAGCCAGTGTATGGGTGCGCTTGTCGGCAAATGAACTCTTACGTACGATTGCTACTTACCTGATCGGACCAGGACCTCTGGTTCAATCCCAGGTAGCGAGCCCCTCGTAGCCATCTATGCCATCCACCTCTCTCTCTCTCTCTCTCTCTCTCTCTCACTCACTCATGGGGTGATAAGAAACTGTCAAGAGGAGGAAACTCAACATCCGGAGGCAAACTTAAACATGTGAAAATGATGGGTACCTCAATGATGTCTGGACTTCAAATACTTCCAACTTTTTTACATCGTTCGTGATTCTACATAGATCAGACCTCAATTGCGTTGTATACGTCATTCAGACACGGTTAGATTCATCCAGATCTTGCCGTAATTGCGGTTAGATTCATTCAGATCTTGCCGTAACTGTGGTTAGATTCATCCAGAACCTCCCACAATAATCTGTATACACACAGCAGCAGACGAGCGAGCGAGGACTAAGCAAGCCATCCAGAGATCGTTCAGACACTGTGAAAATGAAGGGTACCTCAAAGATGTCTTTCCAACTGTGGCTTGTCCCCTGTGCACTCAGCTTCTGCATTATCACATCCACACTTTGTTGTCCCCAACGCCGCGCAAACCAATCTCTCCATAGCCCGTCCGTTAAGCTTGCCAGATCTCTGCCCTGCAGCCGTGTGACAGCCACATGTGACAGAACAAAAAGAGGGGGCAAGACGACAGGCCGTAAGCGGTGGTGGTGCACCATATTAAGAAGCAATTGAGGAAACACACAAAAAAGAAAAAAAAGAAGAAGTAGAAAAAGTAGAAAATAGAAGCGTTTGAGTGTGGGCGGGTTGGCTCCCCCGAGGGAAAAAAATTTTAAAAAGCCATTTCGGAGCATCGGAAAAGAAAAAGAAACTGGGGGGGGGTAAGGGCATACTCCCACTCACACTAGCACTTTCCTAAATGTATCTGACCACAATTACGGCAAGATCTGGATGAATCTAACCGCAATCACGTCCAGAGCTTAGTAGAAAAAAAGTCCTACGAGTCTGAGCTAAGCTCCAAGCCTTGTGCGGTATTCCGGATAGAGACTCAGACTGTTGAGGACCCCCCAAGATCTCAATCGTCTTCTGCTTTTTTTTTTTTGTTTGAAAACCAATTTCAATTCATCAACAAAAGAACTGTGAGGCCGGGAACAGCTCATCAACAATGTACTGGGCCCATTACCCAGCTTCACCGCAGCAGTTGAGGTACAGTCCAGGGGGGAGGTCCCGCTAGCAAAGAGGGTAGGATTGAACACCTGAATTTTGACGTTTTTGCGGAGAGGTACAGAAAATCGGACCCCTTCCTCCAGTAGCAGAAATGGCCAAATCTCGACCTCTGCCCAAGAGGAGGGGAACAGCCCGGCCCTTACGGAGAGACGCCTAAACAAGGGGGGGGACTGCTACAGAGCGCCCATCTCCCAACCTTCATCCGTCCTTGTGGGCTATTCTACTGGTCGGGAGGCTTACTTGCAGCACCCAGACACGCAGTAGAGCAGCCACCAGGGCGCTTGGCACGGGGGGCCAAATAAATCATCAAATCGGTTCGCGCTGGACAGAGGAAGGCACATGCTGCGGGCGCAAGAGATGAGAGAGAGGGGGCTGCTGCGGCCGTAGCAAGGCGGCTACCGTCTTCACCCGAATATAACGCCCGGTCATCAAAGCCGTATTTGGGGCCATTTTCTGTCCAGATGCAGCGATAATGACCCGGCGTTCTATTCGGGTGAAGACGGTGTGTGCGCTGATTGCCAATCAGATACTGTGGTTGACGTGGCGACAATGTGTGACGACGTCGACATTTTGAGTTCATTGTATTTGCCCTTATTTGGCTTGTATCTCGGTGCATTACGCTTTCTGCTTGGTTTTCGACTATCTGCTTTACAGCGTAATTTTGCAATGTGGATTCCTGTCTATCGCTCTCGCTCATATTCCTCATTGCACATATATCCCGGTCATTATCGTCATATCGCTGCCTACGGTTTACCGCACGCACAGCTCTGTTTAACGACCGTATTTGGGGCCATTTTCTGTCCAGATGCAGCGATAATGACCGGGCGTTCTATTCGGGTGAAGACGGCGTAGCGTGCGTATGGTAAGCCGTATGCAGAGAGGGAGAAGAGGAAGAGGGGACAACAAACGAGGGAGGGGCTGTCACAAACAGTTTCGTCGGAGTTTCGTATGTACATATATATTGTCACCGGATATCAGAGCGCAAAAGCGAAAAAAAATATAAAAAAACCAGAAAAGTGAAATCATTTTTTATCTTCTTCCTTGAACTCCCCCTGTTCAGAACCTCTTGCGTACAAGGCCGCCCACGTGGATGTAGGTTGAGCGGCGGCTGCCCCCACCCCCGTGTGTCATATTGATCTTCATATACAGTTTACATTCAATCGATTATATTTTATATACATCTACTGTTTTGTTTGTGTGTGTGTGGGGGGGGGKGGGGGGGCGAAGGAGGGGACGGGGGGGGGAGGGGAAACAAAAACTCTTTGTACTGTTATGATGCCGTTTCTTGGACAGACAACGTGCGCACATACGCACGCCAACAATTTTCTCGATCTCCCAGCAAGGGGAAGTGCTGAACCCAAGTCCAGTGTTAGTGGCATACACAGACTAGAACTTTTTCAGCAGCTATCTGGACGTAATTGCGGTCACATACATCCACGACTGGCCGTAAAAGCGTCCAGATGCATCCAGGAAAATCCTAGTTTGAGTATAGCCTTCACACCCAGAATTCTCAAAAGGGCTGTTGTAAAATGAGAAAGCCTTCACAAAGACAATGGGCCTCGCTCCACCACTCACCAAATTGTTAAATGAGAATGAATCTTCCGCTAAAACACGGAAAGATACACCCCCATATTCTGTCTTTTGCTAGGCTACCAGAGGGGGCCGCGGTCACTTGCCCGGCCGGGCCAAAAGAATAAAATTAAATAAAATTAAAATAATTATTTTATTATTTTTATTATTTTAAATTTGGTGAAGAATTTCGATGTTACCCTGAGAGGGTTGTTGAGTTTAGTTTTCTGCATAACATAGTTTTTTGGGGGATTGTTTCGATTTTTTTTTTTTTTTTTTTTTTTTTTTTATTGTGACTATGCGAACCCGTGCCGCCTGATGGCCACCCGGGACCCGGGCGGCCCGGCTGCTAGCCTAGGTCTTTTGTGCATTTGCTGAGTGGTGGACCGAGGCCCAATTACTTGCAGGAACAAAGGCAGCCTCCACCACCCCCCCTCGGGGCCACAAAGAACATGAATGACATGGGTGAAGTTTTTCTTTCCCCTTCCAAATTAAAATAAAACATCCATTTTTGGTAATGATCACCATCATCATCAGCATCATCATCATCAGCATCATCATCATCATCACCTCCACAACCACCATGGATGAGGACTGCAGAGGCACTTAGCAGGAGCTTCTTTTTCTTTTCTTTTTCTGTTTATAATTTGATTTTTAAGCAGGATCTTCAACAGACCCTAACCCAGAGAGTCCCAGTCGGAAACACCTATAGTGGTATCATCTGGAAACACGAGAATCCCATACACAGAGTCGTCATGCATGAATCCCATACAAATAGAGTCGTCATGTCTCTCTCTCTCTCTCTCTCTCTCTCTCTCTCTCTCTCTCTCTCTCTCTCTCTCTCACACACACACACACACATCCGTCCAGACTCCCTCATCTTGGGAAACGCCGCACACACGCGAAATCTGTCTCTCACCNCCGCCCATCTCTCTCTCTCTCTCTCTCTCTCTCTCTCTCTCTCTCTCTCTCTCTCTCTCTCTCACACACACACATCCGTCCAGACTCCCTCATCTTGGGAAACGCCCCACACACGCGAAGTCTGTCACTCTCACCGCCCATCTCTCTCTCTCTCTCTCTCTCTCTCTCTCTCTCTCTCTCTCTCTCCTTTCCGAAACATTTTCACCTATTTCGAGAAAAACATACCTTTTGTTTTTCTTTTCTGCTTTGGAATCTTATTATAATCGGCCCCACTACCCAAGGCAATGCCTTTTCGCATTCATTTTTTGCTGTCTTCAATTTCTTTTTTTTTCTTTTTTTTTTCTTTTTTTCAATGAAGCCCGAACTGATCAGAATAGACGCTACACTCGATCTCTTTTCGACCTCTTCGTGTTTTCTTTTCTTTTTTTTTCTTTTTTTTTTGAATCCTGCATATCTATCCCCTTCACTTCTGTTTCCCTTCGCTTTTCTTTCCTTTAATTTATTTCGCTGTCGTGTTTCTTTTTCTTTTTCGTTTTTTCCCGTCGTTGCCTCTAGGCTGGTCTGGTAGGCCTACGCCCACTGATCTTGGCACGCAGCCGAACTTTTTCTTCTTTCCCTTTCCCTGTCTGTGTTTTTCTTTGCCTTTTTTCTGTTTTTTCTTTTTTATCTGTGGTTGTATTTCGCTCAAAACATAAAACTCATCAGGAGGTTGCCACAACGGTGTGCCGTGTGTCTGTGTGTGTGTGCGCTTCCGCATAGATTTTGGGATGGGAGAGAGGAGAGGACGGCCGCGTAGAGAAAAAGAGTATATGGCGCATCCTGCATGTGCGCATGCAGATTCACACACGGGACACTACCCTTCGGTTTTTTACCCTCTTTTGTCGTTTGTCACTTTTATCTTTTGAAGTTTGCAAGGCTGTTTTTCCGGGCGCCCGGGCACCCAACTTGTGACCGGATATACGACCGGGTGCGCGGCCGGGCATGACCCCCTGGCAGGGTTCCAGGCAGGCCCAGCGCAAACAAAAAATCAGAAAATTTCAAAAAAAACGAAAATGTTGTGTAGAATTGCAATACAAACAACTGAGGGTCACAGCAGAATTCCTCACCGAATCAGAAATAAAAAAGAAAATACCAAAATTACACTAAGGGACCCCCTTTACACCCCTTAGACCCTTTAAAAACAATTTATACCCCCTTTCCCCCCTTGACAGCCAACTCTCAAAAAACGAAAAGAGCCCATTTTTGGGGTCCTTTGCGAGAGCGCAGAAAGTCAAAAAAAAAAAAAAAAAAAAAAAAAACACGCCCGGGTGCCCGGCCGGGCCATGAAAATCTTCCTAGCACTTTTGTCCTTTTTTTGGGAGAAGACGGTTAACAGAGCCCTAAATTTTGAGGAGGGTTTCTTCAGGGTCATCATTACAACAAACGTCCCCCCACACCTTTTTAAGCCTACCAGACTTGTCACCAGTCCATACAGTGGACACCAAATAAACCAGCAGCAAAAAAAAAAAAAAAAAAAAACTTCGATCAAAGGGGCCTAAACCCCAACGAACAAAGTGTGTTTTCATGCAAAATTCACTCTTTTCAGTTTTTCAGGATTTTCAGGATTTTCAGGATTTGAAGGCTGGCCAAAACACTCACTCCATGACCCCAACAGACACCAAACTTGGCACATCCAGACACCTTGACCCAAAAAACACAACACGCCAAAAAAAATAAAAAAAATAAAAAAAAATGCACGTTTCAGTGTGTGTTGGTGGTGTTAGCCTGGGGCTGAAAAGTAGTGGAGGTCCCCAAATGCGCTTTTCATTTCTTCTCTTTGCAATCCCGCGGCTGTCGTTTCGACCAAAAACGTAACGGCGTTTCGTTTCTTTTTTTTTTTCTTCTTTTCTTCTTTTTTTTTCTTTCTTTGTCTTTTCTTTTCTTTATTTCTTTTTCTTTTTTTTGTCGTTTCTCACTCACACTACTTCCATTATTTGGTCCTCTTTTTGGTAGTTTCTTTTCAACGCCGTCACTTCTGATTATATTCACCATTTTAAATTGTACTAAAAATAGATGGGTAACAACCGTAAAACCTCAACGAAAGTAACGGTGTATGGGCATCGCCGCACCACTCTCGAAACGGGCAAAATGCGAATGAACTTCCCGCTAGACCATGGCCAGATGCACCGGTCACGTTTTTGTCCTTTTCACATTTCGAGAGTGGTGTGGCGAGGCCCTCTATAGACCTATATACTACATATAGATCGTCGAGGCCCTATATAGATCTATATACTACATATATATCGTCAGACAGAGCTGTGCCTACGGTAAACCGTAGGGGCAGAGAGGGAGGGAGAAGAGGGAGGAGAGGACGACAAACGAGGGGATTGGAATTGGAAAGAGCGAAGGCTAATCACTGCGTCGACTGAGATCAGCAGCACGCGACACATAAGCAAGTTGCTGAAAAATACAACCCGCCAGAATATGTGAAAACTCGGAAATTACTCAGAAGTTACTCTTCTGCAACACCAAGAGTATCTCTTCGAAAGATCTGCAACAAGGCTCAAAAGGAAGCCATAGCCAGGCTAACCCTGGTGATGGCTGTCTGGCTTCCCTCGACCGGTTTCGGCTAGAGCCAGTTCTAGCCTCATCAGGAGGGGTAAGTATCCGAGGTAGGAGAAAGGAAAAGCCCTCTCTCTTAAATAGTAGCAAATGTAACTTCTATCTAGGCATCACGTAGCTAGTAAACCACTGAGGTAAGTTCTCCTTCTTGGCGCGAAAAAACACGGAAAGCTGAGGTCAGTCTACAGGCAGTATTCCCAAAAAACGAGTTACGCTGTCGTGTCTTTCGTATCCTGTACTCAAGGCGCGGTAACTTTGTAAACTGGTCCAGGGCAGGAGTATCACTGTTCTTGGCGTCGGAATTATCCGCGGGATTACGTGAAAATCCTAAGCTGCGGAGATAAACAGATATAAAAATAAAAATAAAAATAAAAATAAAAATAAAAATAAAACAGAAATCCCACGTTCAGATCGTAGTCCGCATGTTCAGGAAAAAGAATCGGGCTAGGCTCTGTATTCCCGCCATCTATAGGTCAGTTTCCAGGAAGGACTCAGCAAAAACGAGTAAGGCCTGTAGTTATTCGTAGTCGGTAGATCAAAACCCTATATCTAAAGATCTAACAAAGGACAAACGCAGTATCTCAGCTTCCGCCTTGGTGTTGTTTGTAGCCTGTAAATCAAAAAACTTTTTAACTAAAGATCTAGCAAAAGGACAAACAAGAAAAAACGCGGTAACTCTATTCCAGTAAGAATGGCCGAAGTTTAAAAAACCGCTTTACACTCAAGAGTCTTCCCCTGAAGAAAAAACCGGGAAAGTCTCCTCTTTGAGTCGAGTAGATCCAAAAGCAATCGTGGCTGGAAATCTGGTTGGGGCTCAGCAGATCAGAACAGCCCGCAGATGAGGGTACTAGAAATTACCAGCCACAGAGCTTTTTTCCCCATTTGTCCCATGACGGGGCTTTAGTACGTATGAATTTTCTCAGGCATTCATTGAAGTACTTACCTGGGTAGCCTTGCAGTCGAAGTAATCGTTTCAGGGTAAGTAAACTCACGCCCGTCAGTTCCACCTCAGAAGTCATTTGGTAAATTCTGTGCAGGCAGCTAGTGATTACAGCTTTTTTCTGGGGAATCGCAGAGTACGATGCAAAGTCTTGGATGGTTCTGAAGGTGAGCGCTCCGTCCTTCCAAACGAGGGGATGTGACAGACGTCACAGAACTGTTTCGTCGGAGTTTCACCTACCTACTCATCAGGAGGCTGAACCCTATATAGGTATATATGGACCAGATCCATTGCACCAGACTGTTCCAACGACCTCTCGCCGACCCATACATGTACTTAAAAAATTACGGCACACACAGGTTCAAAGCATCCGGTCCGCTCGCCGACCGGTAGATGTGTACGCATAAAGGCACAACAACTTGGTGCAGAGCATCTGGTCCGAAGGTGCAACAATGGGTATTCAGAAATATATTGCGGCAACAAACACAGAGCGCAGACATAAATTCAGACTTGAAAAAAAAAATAAAAAAATCAGACTTTCAGTACTACGTTCTTTTTTATTTTATTTGTTAGGATAAATAGGAAAAGTGACTACATGAATTTAACGACAGGTGCGCATATGCGGCCACTAAAATATTATCCAAAAAAAAAAAAAAGGCTAAAAATGACTACATACATTTAACAGCCGGTGCGCGATCCAACGGCCTAGCTGAGTTTGATAAAAGGCACGCACGTGGGGCATTCAGGAGGAGGTCATGGGTTCAATCAATCCCCATTGGCCTAAGCATGTACCTTCTTTCCTCGGCAAGCTTGGCGCCCGCCAACTAGAGATGGCCAGTTGGTACCCCCAATTGGCAATTAAAAGGGGTCTCTGCTGATGTTCATAGGGGGAGGGGAGGGGTAATCGGGGAGACACAGCGACTGGCCACTCAAATGATGCGAGGTCCCTCTGCTACCGGCTGTCCCCTCGCCGGTGTCCCCCCCCCCCCGGGGGTTGCCTGAAGGCAAATAAATAAAGGCCACCCTGGGCAGGACAGGCCACCCTGCGGTTTCAGATTAGACACAAGATTGAATTTACCTGGGCTGGTTAGTCCGAAGATACAGTAATACCTCAAGGCCATCGCCCTTTTAAAAAAAACAATGTGCGCCTATGCGACCGATAAAATATTATCCAAAAAAAAAAAAAAAGAGAACACGTGCGGGATAACCCACCCCCCGATGTGATCGTCTTAAGATCACGGTACCTTGTAGGGATCCGTTCACACTTGAACCATTGGATTGAAAAGCGAACGCCGATGACAGACAGCAAGGCGTCAAAATCAGCGGTGGCGCAAATGCGCAAGCGCTCCGCGAGGAGCGCAACACGCTAGGTAGGTTGTGTGTAACTCTTGGAATTGATTTTTTTTTAATAAATCGTACGAAAAAAATTAGGAAGAAGAAAGGAAGAAGAAACAAGATCTCTTGCTCGTATTCTCTACTCTTGCTATCCCTTCTTTAATCCCTTTTTTTTTCAACTACATATATTGTGCAGATTGATAACCTAGATCCAAAAAAAAAAAAAAAAAAAAAACCGGAATCACAGCTGGAAAACCTCTTCCCATTTTAATCTTCTTCTCGTTTAGCTTCATTGCCCTTTTCCCTTTTAGTTGTTCTTTTTTTTTCCACTACACACACACACAAACACACACACATATATATTGTCACAAGAATATCAGAGCGCAAATGCGAAAAAAAGAAAGAAAAACAAGAAAAATGAATTCAGTTTTTTATCTTCTTCACACATATATATACGTAAACACCGCATCTGGACGGATCCCTGGAAGTGGCTCTGTGGAAGCGGAGGAGCCACGTCTACCACAGAACCCCAAGGGAGTCGCTT